TATGATTTTTGCATAAATCACATCAATCGATATTTTAGAATTTTTAGTTGCAATTATATCAAAAGATAAATGTTATGTTGCACTTGTTAAATACGACTTTTTAGAAAATAATTAAAACGTTACGCTACTGATTATTAAGTCTTGATCTGTTCAACTTCGAATGAGAACATGATTTTTGTATCAACTCGCTTACTATATTTTTATTTATAAATATTTATATTCACAATTTTATTTTTTTTGATTTGATAATTATATTTTAATATACTTCAAAAGAGTTATAAAAATATGATTTTGATAGTATAAAGAATATAAGTATCTAATATTAAAATATATATGTGGAGTGCAATGTAAATACAAGTACCAAGGCAAAAAAGAACAGTTTTGACTCAAAAGTTTGCAACATCATCAATTATGGGATCAATATTTTCACTCATTAAATTTTGTTTACTTATTTCAATTCATGTAAAATAAAGCGTAAAAAAAAACTAAAAATGGGATAAAAAACAATAAATAAAATAATAAAAACACAAGTCATGATATTGGTTCATTAAATTACAAGTCTTTTTTTCAATTGTTATTTTTTATTTTGGCAAAAATATATTTTTCATCATAATTCTTTTCTTTTCTTTAAGGAATAAGTTGCAACACAAATTGAAAACTTGTGACATTGTATTGCATAATCTTAACCAAGTTATTTTAAAATTTAATTTTAATATTTTTTAAATTTTCTATTCTTTAATCTCCATTCTAATTCATGACCCCCTCCCCCTCTCTTTCTCTTTCTCCCTCTTTCTCTCTTTTTATATATATATATATATATATACCAAATAAATAATTATAAGTATACACATTTAAATTTGGGGGTTATAAAGAGTTATAGAGATTATGAAAATATAAATTATGAAGATAAAGAGATACATATTTCTTAGTTTAAGAAGGGAAAATTAATGAGATTAATTTTAGGAAATGATAAATTTAAAGTTCTAATTATTTGTGTAGGATTAGCTCCCCTTACCCATTTATTTACATGATAAAATGAAAAAGTAAAGGTTTTAACTAATGAAGAAACATAAAACGTGATAAACAACAAATTACAATAATGTAATGTATTCTTACAAAGTGATCGAGTTTGCTTATTCACAAAATATTATTATAAAAATTTAATACTAAAAATAAGATTTATTCATTTATTTTGTGATTGATTATTATAATTCATTTATTTTGTGATTGATTACTAATATGATAGACCACATCATATATTTTTAGGGGCAACAATATCCAGTAGATTTAAAAGAAATGTATCATAAGTAATATACTTTTAATTCAATCATGACAAAATTTAAAATATTAATTAGCTACAAACTAACGTATATATAAATAATAAAAAATGTGCATCTTTTAATCTTCAACGACAACAACAATGAATAGAATATTCATTTTTTTGTTCAAATCAAAGAAATAAAATAGAATAATATTAATTGGAATCAAATTAATACAACAATGAATTTTCAAAATGTCTGGAAATCATTCAAACTTTTATACTACTATGACTCTATCTTCCGGAATCTCCAAGATAATTATGCTTCCTTCTTCATTTTGTTGAATTTATACCAAATAATGTGATAAATCTTTAAAGAATATATCTATGATCTTCATCAAAGTGAAGGTCATATTGTGACATCATCTTTTCTATGTCTTCTTTTTTATTATGTACATGATTGATGAATAAAAAGACGAAGAAAAGAAAATTAAAAACCTATGCTACTAAAAAGAAAGAATAAAAAAATGAAAATAAACATTCAACATCTCTATAGATGATATATATTTATAGATCGGATAAGCCATACAAATAGTTAGAAGGAAATTGAAAAGACATGCTATTTAAGTAAGAACATCAATAGATAGAAGTTTTTTTGTAACTCATTATATATAATTACAATAATAAATATACTTGAATTTTTTTAATTAATAAACAAATTATTTCATGAAAAGAAAGAAGAAAAAATATCAAAAGAAAAAAGAAAAAAGAAAAAAAGGAATGGAGGCCATAGAGAGGTGCCACATCACCTTGTCTATGGTCCTCATTTATATATATATATTGATTGGGTTTATATTGATCTGGTTAATTCAGTCAATATCAAGAGAAATTTTATCTAAATATTATATAAATAACTTTTTTTTAAAAAAAAACAGTCAATATCAAGAGAAATTTTATTTAAATATTGTATAAATATCTTTTTTTTTAAAAAAAATATATGGGATAAAGTTTTATCAGATAAACAAATTATTGAAAATTATCAGTGAATATTAAGGTTAGTAAAAATTGGGTGGATTGACTGTGACCCCATTTTTAGCGCATTGCATTCCATCTGCTTAATCCCAAATAATATCAAAGAGCGACAATGATTCACTTGTTTAATAACTCAATTTATTTAAATATTTTCAAATTTAACTCAACCCATGTAATGGTTTTGAGTTTAATCTTGGAAAACTCTGAAGTTTTAAACTAATAGCCTGTGTGGATTGTTTTTTAACTTATTTTAAACATTTTAAATTAAAATCAAATGTTTCAAAACACTTTTTTAATTGGCTAATACAATTCAAAAGTGTTGTAAAACTATTATGAATTAAAAATACTTAAAATAAGTCAATTGAGACAAGCACCAATAATTGACAGGGTCTTTGAACTGACCTAAAAGCTAGCTCATTTTTTTACTTTGTGAAGTATTCGACAAATTAAAAAAGTAATTAAAATAAGTTAAAGATTTACTTAAAAATTGATCCCCCACTCTTTCTTTTTCTTGCTCTATTTTTTCTCGTTTGTTCTTCTATATTATATTCTTCTCCTTTTACCCTTTTTTCCTACAAATTATTTGTGGTAAAAAAGAAATAGTCATTATTATTTATAAGTATAATTGGAAAAATATCTAGAAAATTTCATATGCTTTATCAAAATTATAAATTTTAAAACTTAAAAATAATCCAGACATATAAATTACCTTATATTTATCAACTTATATTGAAATTGAAATAGGTATAATTGAAATTTTAGTTCAATTTATTTTAGAAATAAAACTTATAATATATTAGCATTTTACCATGTCAACGATAGTTCAAACATTTTTTTTTCAAAAAGGCTCAATAAGATTTTTTGTAGTATAAACATTTTCATTTTTTTGGAAAATTATGCCGAATAGCAAATAGCTAATATTAGGTATAATAGCTGCAGTTTAAGAATACTAATTCGCGGTTGTAGTTTTCCCAATTCTTAATATTTATTTGATTTGTATAAATTCAGAATTTGTATAATTCAGTATCTGATTGTATAAATTTAAAATTTTGTATAAGCTTATCCTGGACATTTGTATACGATTTATGAAAAATTCATAAAGTACCCTATTTTGACAAACGAAATTCTGAAAAATTCTTAAATGTATAAATACATAATTTATATAATACTTACTCTACTTGTATATTCCCAAGGAAATATACAAATTGCATTCACTATAGCAAACAAAACTAAGTTATGGAGTGTAATTATCAAAGTTATAGCTGTAGAGTTTTATCAAGTCTATTATGTTTGGTACTTGTGAATTTTTTTATTATTTATCCAAATACGTAATAGTTTATTTTTTTTTGAAAAAAATCAGCCGATCCAAACGGGTTCGTTCTACACAAGTGTCCACACGGTGGAAACTCTATTTTGAAGGATGGGCCGATTGGGCTGGCGTAGCCTAGTCCAGCCCAAGAGGTCATTTAAAACCCCCGCCTCTCACAAAACCCTAAAGCCGAACTTTGGCGAGAATAACTGAGTAGGAGCAGAGAGTTTCGCCGCACTACAATGGGTATGTATCTCAATCAATTTCATTCAGTTTTCATGGCTACGATATCTATAGTTAATATCATATCCAATGGTTGGGATTGCTGGAAACGCAAATGCAAAAGATCTGACTGTTTGTTTTTTTTTTCTTCTGGAAAATGACTGTGGTTGGTTTATATAGGCGCCTACACTTATGTGTCAGAGCTATGGAGGAAGAAGCAGTCGGATGTGATGAGGTTCTTACAGAGGGTGAGGTGCTGGGAGTATCGCCAGCTTCCATCAATAGTGCGTGTTACTAGGCCTACTCGTCCTGACAAGGCTCGACGCTTGGGTTACAAAGCCAAACAGGTACATTTTCTTCTTTACTATGGTGCTGAGTTCAGCTTAAATCCAACTGATTCATGTATCTTTTGCTTACTTGCTTGAGATTGAGGCAAATAAGTCCTAATTGTTTGGTGATTGATAAGACATCGATATTTGATTGCTGAGACTTCAGCACATGTGCTTACTGAAAACTCTTATCAATATAATTACGTATGGTGTACTAAGTTTTTAGAATCCACAACTGTTGAACAATTTTCTTCATTAAGATGAAAATGAAACATGTATTGTAAAACATGAGTTTGAGTTTGAGTGTTCTAATGAGATAGTATGGATTCAAACCTTTTCTATGTTCGTTTGGTTAAGTTCATTTCAAAACATATTCTACACGAAAACATTCTTCAAACGACTTGCTGTTAAGTATGTAAAACAAGTTCCTCAAGTAGCTTGTCATACATTGACTGTGTCCCTCCGCACCATCCAATATACCATAACTTCACCGCATCCTCTAGTCCCCATCCGCACCACACCCTCCTAATCTCCCATAGTATATTTGTAATATCTTTTGTTAATGTACTGAAGACGAGATAATAGGTTAGAGATCCACTTATTTTCTTAGAAAACGATTACCATGGAAAATATTTTTCCTTTGTACCGAACACACCCTAAATCTGTGTTCCTTTCGTTGTCTCTTCTTATCGCCCCTGTAAATAATTGTAACACAGTATATGTCATTTTTGATAACAGGTCTCTGCTATGAAAATTCATTGTTGTCTATATGAAATTTCTGGATGCATGAGACCGATAAAAGAGTTGCAAATAATTTTTCCTTGTAATGCATGCAATTATTTATGACATTTCTAAATTAGAACTAGCAGTCTCTTGTCATTACTTATTTTCATTGTATCGTATCATTGGTACATCTGTTTCTGCTTCTGATTTATATCCATGTACCGTAATATTTTCAGGGCTATGTGGTTTACCGTGTTCGTGTGAAGCGTGGTGGAAGGAAGAGACCTGTATCCAAGGGTATTGTGTATGGTAAGCCCACCAACCAGGGAGTTACCCAGTTGAAATTTCAACGTAGTAAGCGATCTGTTGCTGAGGAGCGTGCTGGTAGGAAATTGGGTGGTCTTAAGGTCCTCAACTCTTACTGGATCAATGAGGTATCTGTCTCTTCGAGCTCATTTCATAGAAATCAACTTCTTTCTTTACAGACTAATAAGACGATGGAACTAAGTAATACTAAAATAATGTGCACATTGACATTGTTGATTGCAGGATTCAACATATAAATACTTTGAAGTGATCCTGATTGATTCAGCCCATGCTGCTATAAGGAATGACCCAAGAATCAACTGGATCTGCAACCCAGTGCACAAGCATAGAGAGCTTCGTGGACTGACTTCAGCTGGAAAGAAATACAGGGGTCTCCGAGGAAGAGGACACTTGCACCACAAGGCAAGACCCTCAAGAAGGGCAACCTGGAAGAGGAACCAAACTCTGTCTCTACGCCGTTATCGTTGATCTACTTGGAGTTTTTCAAGAGTTTCTTATTGTATTGTTCAACTTGAAGAGTTTCTTTTTGAAATCAAGTTCTGAGGAACTTGGTAGAACAGCTCAATTTGTGCAATGGATGATGTGATGATAGATGATAATGTTATACTGTTATATTTATTTGGTATTTTAGAAGCTGCTAGATGTAGTTGTTTATTTTGGTAACTAAACTGATTATAAGAATCACCAAGAGACCATCACAAAATTTAGCCAGGTTAATATAACTTGCCAGCCTCTATCATAAACCAAAGAAGCTACAAATAGCTATTTACGCTTGGTGGCAGAATGTTACCAACAATGACTACTTCAGACATTTACACCTTCCTAAGAAACATGACTTGAACCCCCTGCATCAATATTCAAATGTATCTTTATACCAATAGCAGAAACTGCCAGTTATCCTATTTTCCCTCACAATAGTAAATTCAGAAGACATTAGGAAAAAGAGAGATCAGTATCTCGCAAGAAATTCGTTGTAATGATCAGGAAAGAAGGTCCGTACTTTGTTGAACTGATGTTCCGGAATTTTGTATATGTCGTCTACAAGACTCTTTGCATCCTCACCTTTTGCTGAACATGTATAACAGAATTTTGTGCAATCGTCTAAGAGTTTGTGCATCTGTGGATGCAGATGTTCAATAATCATTCTTCCTTGGATGAAATCTTGTAAGAAAGCTCCGCACGAGCTTCTTCTAACTTCACAAAAAGCTCCTTCATGAAAGTGGTGTATGTTCCATGAGTAATTCGCAGTACCTCTGCTGCCTTGGCTAGTGACCTGTACGCTTCCTCAGTCTCACCAAGCCACCTGAAATTACATATCAGCACCACAGGATGATCAATTAACAAAATCAGCACTTTCTTGAAATTCTATTGAGCAGAGACTGTTTATCAATTTCATTAAATAGTTTTTTAAGTCGCATTGTTTTTACTTGATAACTTAAAAATCCCGTTGACCCATGACAGATTCGAAACTTAGTGGATGATGTGTCCGCCCCTCTATCCTTTTCCGCTTAAAATATCAAACAGTCAACGGTATGGTTGATTCGTGACGCGTACCTAACACACGCATCGCGTTGCGCCAGACCAAAGCCTTGGGGCATTTCAGAAGTCGCATAATTTCATGTCGTCGATATGGAAAATGTTTGATCACTAAAAATGATTGATGAATAAACCAAAAAATAACAGGATTTGGTTTCTCCAGATGTTCATGTACAGCGACCAAAATCTAACAAAACAGAACAGAAGATGCCTGGAGGAAGCAAATCTACAAACCACAAAATCATTGCAATGTTGCAAAATATATCTCATCAACTAAGAGTGGGACAACCATAATTTCGTCTCCTTCAGTACTTAAATTCAACATAATTTTTTTTTTCAAAGTATACAAATACAAATGTTCGGAAATATGACAAATAGACCACGATCTAGCATAAATGGTATCTCATTACCCTCCGCTATACTTTAAGGTTACTCATAACTTACCATCTAACCTTTGGGATGTGTATACCCTTATGGCAGACGGAGGGACACGTGGCATCATCTAAACAGTCTAACCAAAATTATTTTAATTTTCACCTACAAATTAAAACCCACCCATCTACCTGTAAACAAACCCACCCATGACCCGTATAATTTGAACACCCATACCCAACCGAACAGAGAATCAGGTAGAGATCTTCATAGGTATGTTTGTTCTCCATCTACGACCATTCTCTTAGCTGTTCTTGTAGCGTTTTATGCCTGACTTTAGGTGGTATTGTTGATTGTTGTCTGATTATTGAATGATTTTCTTATTTATTGTTGCAAGATACTTGTGCAATATTGCAATAGGATATACAAGATCTAAGCATATTTCTCTGACAAGCAAAATAATGAAATAAGAAATGGAAAAAAGAAAACTAGCAAAGCAGATATACGACACAATAAATAGAAAAAGCCAAAAGGTCTAACCATTCAAGTTTTCCACAAGTATAGTATTGCAGTCCGAGTAAAGGATGACATTCTGGATAAACTCCTATAAAAGAAGAGATATTACAATATGAAGCAAGCATGTATATCTTTAACCAAAAAAAAAAAGAAGCATGTATATCCACTTTAGAGCATGACTAAGTTCACTTAATTTGCTTACTTACTAATTTACGTTTTATCTTATGTCCAAAATCATCATATTTTTATTATTTTGGTATTTAAAAGTAATTTTGTGTTTATTCGTGAAGAAGTGATATTTTAATTATAATACTAATAAATTTATTGATATTTTTGGGGGGAGGTAAATAGCATTGTATGATAATTTGCATCTCATAATAGCTTTTTATATCATTGGATTATTTATACATATGAAATTACATTAGTCGTTTTATTCTCTATGAATTGCTTTAATCATGTTTTTAAATTTTTTGAATTATTAATGCATTATTTTGTGATTTTTGTGTTGTTATACTCTTTTACGATATTATAAATTAAAAAGTTAAATATCCATAAGGCTGATGCCTTGGCTCACCTCCCGCTCCTGCATTTTAAAATACTGGTGCAGAAATGCATTTTGCGTTTTCTGCACTCCTTACCCCAGACCCACAGGCCTCCACTACAACCCACCTCCCCAACCTATGTTTCACTTGCACACCGAACACAAGAAAGAAAGTAATAAACCACTTGTTTTCCTAGAAAATGTTTTCCTCCGTACCAACCGCACAATGTCACAGTACTTTTATTGAGGACAATAGGGTTCAGAAAAAGTAGATCTTAAGTGAACCTCACTTGCTATCATATTATTATGCCAAGAGATAGCATTGATATGGTGACTACTGAACAGAAATATGCTGAACCTTTAGGTAGTGCCAACTTACTCCGATAAGCTGGAATAGTTAATCTGCAATACTTTAGTGCCTCCTTCCAATCTTGCAGCTCCATCAATATCTAAATGAAAAAATATCCATATATCAGGTGCAATAAAATATCACGAGAAGATTGGAATAAGATTGATGTCAATATTTTCAAAGGAAATCAAGAACGAGATTTCCTTGATAGAATCACCATTCAACATGGCTGGAGAACATTCTTCTGATAGACACTACTTTAAAGGTAATCAAACCTTTAAGATATTCTCACGTGTGCGCATCAGATTGATCGACGATGCATGGTACAGCTCCAATTGAAGTTTTTCAATCATCTTATACATTACACTAGCATCTTTGTTATCTGTGTCCTGTCAAAGAGTTCTCTTTTTCCAAAAAAAAACACAAATAAATATAATCTTTGAATTTAATTGATGGAACATGTCACTTCCTCAATTCTATACCAACTCAAGTGGACTGATCAGAAGTACCTCCTCTTATGGCGTAATATAGCTCGTGCTGACTTAGAGCGGAAAATATTAGCTCAACACATTGTTAGAAGTAGTATTAACATGATGATTATCCTAAGATTAGTAGAATATCTATTTAAGACTATTATATAGGTTTACAGATAGTAACATAGATTAGACATTCTTAGTGCTAAATTCAGAGGATACGTCCACATGGAAGTGAAATCGAAGCCTTTTCAGACAGTGATTGGATTTCATGAACAGTATTCTTTATTTCTTCCTTGTCCCTAACAAGTCCACATAATTGGCATGTGAATCCTATATTACCTGCAAAAAAAAAAAAAAAAGAAGTCCTTGGAAAACCAGATCAAGATCAATCTTGCAGGTTTAAGATGAGGATCGAGACAGGGATCATATACCAGAGTCACGAAGCATGAAACCAGTGCATCTCTTGTCCTTGCATCTATAACCCTCCAGAACTGCACTTTCTTGGATATCATCATTTTGTCCCTTACAGTAGGTTATAAGTTTGTGAGCAGAGAAATCTTATTATTGAGCACTAGTTAGACTAGACAATGGACATACCAACTTGATGCAGCGAATGCAAGTGCAGGAGAAAAGGTACTGTTCTTTAAGAGCCTTTTGACGAGTTGCAGTGGTTCCAGCCATTTCTATATAACTTATTGATACCTTTTGGAAGCCAATCAAGTAAATCAGAGAGTTAGTGATTGCTTTCACTTGTGTTTTTAATTTACTGCTTAAATATCAGTAAATAACATATTGTCAAATTTAACACACTTCTACAGTAATGAGCGTCAATTTCCAATATTAACTGGTGAAAACCTTTTGCTTATGACATATAAAATCAACAGAACTATTGGAATCGAAGCAACCATATAATCCCCCTTCAATGACATGCACCACTATTTCTACAATCTTATTGAACTCTATGTAGATGTTTAAGTGCTCAAAAGAGCAAACAAGAATCATACAGTAATAAGCTTCTTGAAATCTACTCAAGAGTCAACCACAAAGATCTCAATGATTGCTGATCATGAAAATCATCATGACTACATGCATATCATTATCAGTTATCATTCTTACTAAATTCATCAAGATAATTCTTGCTCAAAATTAGAGGTATTGGTCAAAGGAAGCACTTCCAGATATCAACCTGTGGTTGGTTGATTTGCATCTTATTTAGTTTTCAGAATGATGACATACTTTCAGTTAGTGAAAATTTGAACTCATCAAATTGACCAAAATGATTTGGAAAACAATGTATTACCTCAGTACCTTTAGGTATATGATGCAGAGCTCGGACAACAGCCATTCTTCCCTCAAATATTAGAACCGAATTCGGCAAACAACTATAACACGAAAAGTCCACTTAGAGCAATACGTATACAAGCTAACATAAATTTATTGCAATAATTACCTGTGGTTGATTATAGAAACCACAGGATAAAGGCCTGTCCCCAGGGGTTTCAGTTCAGCGTCACAAATTGTATGTGCATTACATGAAAACTGCACATCCCCAGAAAAGACAACAGAGAAACACCAGGTTAGACAATGAATTTAGGAAGAAAAAACATTAGATGCTTCAAGACAAGTCATTGAGGGAAAACTTTAACCACATTGTCTTGTAATTATCATGAAATAAGAGTGAGTTATAACGAAGGATTTGAACATTGGATACAATATAGCCCAGACATTATGCATGGGATGGGCCTATGCAGCATAGTTTTTTTTTCGGGACGAGGAACATTGTAAAGTTTCGAGACATATCAAAAGATAAAATCTGTTCCACAATCTATACCTTAGAAAAGTTTTCTGCAATCTCCTTTACATTGATCTTGGGACATTGAAGAATCAGATTGACAAGGTTTGCCATCTGAGCATACAAAACTAGTTGCTTCTCATCAATACCAGTCATATCTATGGAAACAAACTTGTCAAGAACAAAACAAAGTCAAGGACGTACCAAATATAGAACCTTAATACAGCATTCAACATTATATCAGAAACTCATAAGTATAAGCTACACAAGGATACGAGAAACCAAGGATTCCACCAGATTGTAATTGTCCATGACTGTTATTGGAATGACCTGGCAGTGAAAGAGTAGTTATGAGCTACATGCAAAACCAATATATACAAAAATAGCAAGACTATTTTTCATGACAAGGCTGGAGGTCGAGAATGACAAATCCAACTAGGGTAAGAAGATAAACTAAAGTTGGTTAGGACCAAGATTAGCCTGCTTGCAGATATATTGCAGCTACTTGGGAGACTTATCTTGCATGAGGTTTCCATGTTTCTGAAACAATTATTTGACTTTTCAAGCCATCAATTATTCCAAAAAAGTCTGATGATGGAAGTTTAGGTACTTCCATGCACATATAAAGATTTTACACTTTGAAGGAAACCAACGGAAGGAGGTATAGAAAGGTAAAATATAAGAGATGCCATAATTTGATTCTCCTTTCACATCTCTACAGATTCTCTTCCTCCTAAAAGAAAGAGATATTTTAGCTGACCAAGGAGAAATATTTTTTTCTCTCACTTCATTTTCCTTCATTTTTTCTTTTGTCAAACCAAACTAGGAAATGGGATATTTAGGGCCTGTTTGGCCATGATTTCATATTATAATTTGAAATGATTGATTTGAAGTTGAAATTTGTTTGGACATGCAATTCAAATCTCAAATATGTACTTATAAACATGGAAACCTCAAAATTTATGAAAGCTATCAAAACTTTCTCAGCTCTTAGTCTCTTGCACAATCTTACCAAATGAGAAAATCATAGTTCATAAACAAGGTAATCGAATTATTCGGTGGCGTCTCATTAATAAATCACATATCTCCATGTCCTTTTTTTTATAACTAAATGTTTTCGATTGCATGTTGTTACAAACTTTCAAATACACATAATTTAACAAAGATCCATTGGTCCAATAAATCAACAATAATAGTAACTAGTTATTGTTTAATATAATCATCCGATAAGGTACGAACAATCTCTCAATGTCGAGCATCGATCTTTTTTTGCGAACATTTAAACTATGGTCTTTTTGGCAAATAATAAACCTATGAAGTTTCAAATATGAAAACTTTTGAAATCAAAAACTTGAAATTGAAATCCTACCTTTTATGTGAACTTGAGATTTGGCATTAAAACTCAAATTTGAGCTTCAACTTGCATGGCCAATCACCTATTTAGACAACCTCCATACCTTTTCATTCCCATTTTTAAAACAAACTGTTGGAATCTTTTCAGTTTTCACTTTGTAAAAGTAAATGATGTCAGACTCCCTGTTTTCTTTTATGTACTGTCTTTGTGCCAATTTATTTATCAAGCATTCTTTTTTAGTTCGTACCAAAAACAATGTCATACTTCCTTATCTCATTTTTCCTTGATAAGATTTATAGCCACACACAATTCTTTGGCTTGTTTTAGATCAGATTTTAAAAATCTTTCTTTCTTTCTAAAAACTCCGCTCCCAGTTAAAAATCACCACATATATTGGCACAGAGGGAGTAGATATTTCCTCAGCAGTTCATTTGATCAATGAAAAAATAAGTTAATTAGCCTTCAGATTTTTGGCAGATCAGAAAAAGAAGTGTTCTGTTTGAACCTGATCCTTTTCCTCATCATTGTATTCATGAGAAACGTATCAGGTCCCTCGGCAGGCCACATTTAGTTGTAAGAATATAAAACAACTTCACCTATGAACACAAATTAAAAAGATTCTAATGATGAATAAAATATTTTAGTATAATTGGCTCAATCAAAGACGTGTCCGCGCTGGTGTGGACTTTCATAAAGAATTGAAAGGCTTCAAGGAATTAGACAGACTTCTTGATTGACTTCATCACATATTTGTTACAATGCTCCCATTTCTTGAAATACCTAGAGTTCTCCGACATGCTACATAATCAAGGGACCATACTCTAAGACTGCCCGTAAGGATGTCAGTACCTCCCCTTTCATGTCTTGCTCGCTGCTTATACTCCAATGCACTCGCTCACCCCAAATGAATCGGATTTAAAGCACAAACGTAACACTTGCACCAAAATTCAAGTACCACATTGAACTCTAAAATTAAGTCATATTCACTTCAGACTAGCAAACATTCACTGAATGAGCATATAATAAAGCTGATTTATAAGATTTAAAAAAAAAAAAGTAGATGGACCTTGACCTTCTCATCTTGCAGTTTCCTCCGGAGATAAAGCTTAACCATCAATCTTATACTTGGCGTGATCGATTTTACCCTCTCCTTGTCAACTTTGGACAAAACCTGGCATTCAACCCTATGCAACTTCCAATCTGACTTCTGCAGTTCACTTCACCATAATTATAAATTGCCCAAAGGAAATTTAAACAGACAAATAGCAAAGCTCCTTAGTTGTTGATATTCATTTATGTTTATTGAACTAGAATGTGTACCTGGCATGTGTTGCCACAGTAGTTAACAACTTGACATGCAGAACATCTCTTGAGGTTACTTGAAGTAAAACACCATTCACATTTAGCTGATTTATTGGGAACTGAAACATATGGCTCTTCCGATATAATCACTTCCCCTGTAATTATCAAAAAAAAAAAAAGTCTGCCGAGTAAACCTTAGAGATGTGTAGTTTATGCGATACTCTAATTTGAATGGAAGTAAAACCTGGAGAGAAATCTCGAGTGGTGAAAAGGCAGCGACCCTTTTCCGGCACAGAGGAGACGGTGAGCCCTTTATCACTCAATGCTTCCTCTAATTCCTCCATCACAAATCTCGGAGTTCGGACTTAGAGAGTTGAGAGAGAGCTCGAGAATGTCGGGTGTTTCTCCCTAGTATACTTTAAGTCGTATCCTCCTTAAGAAAAATGTCAAATTTTACTCATGTGCCATCCGAAATTGATTTATTTAATCATTGCTAACCGAATTTTGCTTAGGGATTCAAACAACAAAAATAATGTCATTGATTTCTTACTTCTTTTCTATTATTTGATAAATAAACAAAAAAAATATATATATTTGCTCGGTATTTAAATATTTGACATAATATATAAATATGCTCTTTAGGTTGGTTTCGAATTATATTTATGCTCTTCAACTTTGGGTGTGCATAAGTAGACATTTAAACTTACATAAAGTTGAACAAATCGAGACACATGTCATCCTATATGTTATTTTTTGTCCAACGTGATATACTATGTGTATTTCGCCATGTAGGACTCATGTGTTTATTAATTTAAAAATTGAATTAAAGTGTCTGTTTAAGCATAATAAAAGTTGAAAATCAAAGTTAAAATTTGAAATCAAATATTATGATTCAATATATGTATTATGCTTAAATATTGTCTAGCACAAAACCACAGAGAGGTAGAGGGTTGGTGTGGAACTTTGAGGGATGGTGGGAGTGGGCGAGTCAAGAGGTAGGTTAAGTGAATATTATGAATATGTGATGGTATTTATCATGTATGAAACTTGTTTTTATAGGCAATATTTATTAAAAAAATTGTGCTCTCTGTGCTAAACACACCCTTAAAAGTTATTTTCAAATGCAAGCTCCTTTGAAAATATTTTTAAGGATTGAGAACGAATAGAATGCTGGGTAAAATTGTTCAATTTCAAATTACGGAAAGACAAATTTGATATAGCTATTAGCTTCAGTCATTATTGGATTTAAATGTACGTTTTATCTGATTGAAGGAAAACATATAGAAATTAGGTGAAGCATATAAGTTGATCGACAGTAAATAATCTGGCACAACAACGCATCCTTCGAGTTTGATGCATTTGGAAAAGAATGCAACAGCCAATAAAGTACACTGAAATAAATTAATTTCAACTTTTTTACCACCAAAAATGCAAAGCAAGTGATCGAAGAGCTCTAACAACTAAAAGAAAAAAACAGGACATTCAGTACGCGTACTTTGTAGGTAATCATTTCATTTTACAAGGGTAAAAAATACTCTGTAAGCTAAGGGCCAAATTTACTCATGCCGTTACCAAAGTAATCTAAAATACCCCTCATTTAGGTGGAATCCCACCATCAACCAAAATAACCTATTAAAATAAAGCCAATTACTGCAATATCATAACTTCTCAACCAAATAAACACAAAATAATTTTGCACTATCAATCAGCTATTCATCCAACAAAAGTTAAGAGACTATTTTAATCCATTCCAACATGTCAGTGCTAATTTCAACACGAATAAGCAACTATATTTTGTGAAAGAAGCAAAAGAATACTCTTCAATGGAGTTTCTATCTTTCATGAACCCAGTGAAAAGTAGTTCAATCAAGATACAGATCTACAGACTATCATTTAGTCTTCTAAATCATTATGATGACATACATACATTAATATAGCATTTGGTAAATATACTTAAATGTTGGGTTCAAAGAGTTCCCTCACTTGTATAAACACATCAACAGCCAACATGTTCACTATTTACAGAAATCATACACGGGGCAAGGGGGCATAGTTTCTCCATCTAAACACTAGGTTAATAAAACATCTCATTTAACTGTCTATTCACAACAGCCAATTGTTAACACCTCCGCCAAGACTCAGCTATTTGCTAGAGGATTGCTGAAAATTATGATGCAACCAGTCAAACAAGCACATCTTCGCTGAGATAGAGAATGCCCAAAACAAAAATACTCAGCATGTTAGACTTAAGTGTATCTTTGTAAAAGTATATTCAAACTCTTCTACTTCGAGTCCTTCTGGCAATCTGTAATGCACCCAAAAACAACTTCAGTCAACAGATGAACCGAAAAAATTATTAACTTGTCTAAAAAACTTCCTAGGTTAAACAGAAAAATTTAAAAGTCACAATGTCTGAACTGTAATTTATTAGGACGTTCCAGAATGCCTTCTGCAAAGCCATCTCTCTCTATAGCTCAGTCAATTATTCGAGGAAGGACCTAGCTCTAAAAGCTACACTTTTTCTTTCTTTTTCCCTGATAAATGTCCACAAAGCTTCAATAAAAACAGAGACAAAAAGAAAAAGATAAAAGTTGGTGGGCGTGGAAGGGAGACCAGGTGGCTCTTCTAATAGTGTTGGTGCAAGCTGATTTTTTTAAAGCAGAGTAAATACCATACAAGAATTTGACTTGCTGGTTTTTCCGTTCAGAAACAGCGACAACAATCTGAGCTAAAAAAAACTTAAAAAATAGCGAGCTGAAAGGAAACAGAGGAGAAAAAAGGTGAATCTTACAAAATCCTCGTTCACATCAATGACCTCAGAAGCTGATGAGTCGACAAGAACACTCTCCTGATTTTTTAACTCTGAGGCAGAAAATAAAGAGAATCATAGAACAGTAAATACAGACTTACTCCTCAAAACACCAGCAATAACTTTTTAGATTAGTAGAAGATCCAACAAAATTACTGCTCGTATCCATAGCAAGAACAAAATTGAACTAATTCATAACACTTATAAACAAACAAAGGTAAGATTCTTACCAGCTAAGGCAGTTCTTTTACTACCAATCTTAGCTTTATCTTCTGACAAGTCATCTTCTTGTTGAGAGACAGATTCAATCATGTCTATATTTTTCCTTGGGCTATAAATTGAAGAACACTTGTCATTGTAACTACAGTAAATCTTTTAGAGGACATGTTATAGCATCCACAACAGAATAAAAAGCGGAATTCAAGCATATGATAGGAACAATGTAATGCTGTCCATGTTTTACATGATGAACTCATGAAATATCATTTCTCATAGAAGAGAGACATAAAAAGCTGAGGACATAAGAATGTCTATGTTTCATATATTTTTACCCCTTCTATGTATGTAGATGCTAATGCAATCACGATAAAGATTACACAAAATGCATTACAGAACATCCAAATCCAACGACATTGTGACCGCACAAAAAATGCTTCATATACCTGGTTACATAAAATGAACACCTACATTAAGGAAAGTACCACTGACAAGTTAAATTGACTATCAAGCAAGAAATGGATTGCAAGTTGAAACAAAGAAATTCCATATTTGAGAGTCTGGAAGAATTTCGCAGTGGATTGAAAACAGTCAAAGTTCATAAGAGAACATCACACAATCCTTCTACCCATAAAATAATCAGAAAAAATGTAACAGCTCACCGGCACAATGATTGCAGACCACAGGAACCCTGCATATTAACTCAGTGTCAGGAAAAAATTCAACCCAAATTTGACCAAATCTTATTACTTGAAAAAAAAGTGCAGAAAATGGAGAACAAACTCAAACTGACAATGTGATTACTGTGATTGGAGAAAAAAGAAATGTCCAATTGAGAAGGTCAGTAAAATTTTGATCAGTTATGGATTTAAGGAGAATTTTTTCCAAAAATCTTTATGCAGAAGCAAATATGAGATTTACTAAATACAAATAAGCAAACTACTTTTGATATTAACAGCTCAACCAAAAGTTAATTTTGTTGACAACAATGCAAGTTGAAATTTGATGCCTTTAAGATAGGCAATACAATCAAGAAAGATTCACATTGTCAAAAGTCGAAGCAAGGGCAACAAAAAGTGAAGGTTCTACTTCATGTCAGAGTGTTGAACAGAAACTCTTTTGAGTTAAGCGAGACAGTATTCAACATATATTTCACAAGTATAAATCAATTAATTTCAGAATACTGTTAGGTAGGAAATATTGCAATTAGGGAGGCAGCACAGGCCAGGGACCAAGGTGCAGAAATGCTTGGCTCCAACTAAGCTTAAATGCTTTTCCTGGCAAGTGATCAAGAAAGCTTGCCTAACAGATGAAGCTTTACAGAAGAGAGTTTCAGATAACCTCATGATGCTTCCTCGGTAATAAGGAAGAAAAGACAAACAACTACCTCTTTCTGCATTTGCAAGGTGACTGTTCAATTGTGGTCCCTTTTCTTTAACCTTGCAGGAGTCAAATGGACCATGCCTGAACATACATCAGACCTACCCAGCTGTTGGATCAGAAGAGAACGTAGCAAAACACAGAAGTGATGGTGGAGAGTAATTCTTTCCTGCATCTGCTGGACAGTTTGGAAGGAAAGGAATGGAAGGTGCTTTGAGGACCGATTTAACTCAATGCAGAAGATTAAGGAGAACTGTAAGGAAGGACATACAGATGATGCAATTCAGTTGTTAGATTTCCTAGGATCCTTGTAATTAGTTTGAGTTTCCTAGGCTCATTGTTGATTAGTTTTTGGAGGTGTTCAGCATAGCCCTTAATGCTGAGGAATACAAATTGCCAATTCTCAGAAAAGAAAAGAAGAAGAAAATATTGCAATTAGGAAGTTGGAGCTTAAGATCAGATGAGTTATGGACGCAAGTTTATAGCCAAATCCAAAAGTTGAAACATAAAGGAAACATTCACAAACAAAATCAATAGCATTTTATATTGTATTTACTTTTTCAGTAGCATTGTATATTGTATTTAGCAGATTAGATAGTCATCAAAAGCCTTACCATTTTCCAATTTCAATGTCTTAAATAACATGTTAATGCACCACTTTGCAAGTCTACCTTACATTAACTCTACAGAAAACTTTTACTATATTCAATGCAGTTCGAGTATATGATGGAACGTGATAAACATGAATTAATCATGCATATTAACCTACTTGTTCAAAGCTAGGAAAGGATCAAATAGATGTCTATGACTCATTATACTCTGTTGCATAAGATATTGAATCTTAGATCTTCTATTGGAGGTTTGATTCTTAACAACAAAAAACATGAAACCTAATTCTGCTGGCTAGATAAGGTCAGCATATAGTGATGTGAGCATTACCTGGTCAAGCAAGGAATGATTACTTGAAGTCCCCCAAATTTCACCATCCAAACTGAGAACCTCAGCTTCCCTGCTGTCACATGTGATCTACATGTGCAAAATTTCCATTGTTAACCAAC